TAAAGATTTTATCCTCTTACTCCAAATGCAGAACAGAAGTATATTATTTCAAGTTAAACAACATAAGCTGGAATATTTGTTTGCCAAAGCTCAAATTATAGTAATACTGTCGTAAACTTGACTCGACTTTTCCTCCTGTTTTCTTGATATTAAGAGTGTTTACCCACCCCGAGACGAAAAAGTTGTAAGCTTCCATGGCTTTGTAGGATTTCATTTGTAACATGGTTGTCCAAGACGTTTGAACCACCAAAATAGTTCACGATATCCGGGTACTGAACGGCGGGAAGCAAGCTTAAATCTTCTGAAAAATCGCTCTTTTTCAACTGATATGGATCAAAACCATACAGTAGAGCTTTGTAACGATAGCGAGCCTTCGTAATATCATCTAAAGTTAACCAATAGTCGTCAAATACAATATCAATGTGAGAAGAACTAGTCACGTCCGCCATTCTGAAAGCTTTGTATATCTTCCAACATGGCCGCCGGAAGTGATTCCCCCAATTTTGATCACGTGATTGAAAACGAAGAATGAAAAATTTAGATTTCAGGAGAGTTACTGTTTCATTGTAACCATTATAATCAGTTTTTATTGGCTTCAAAGTGTGAGGCTTTGTACCAGTGCCCACTGAGTGTTACATGTATCTTTAGTAAGTATCCTTAATGTTGTACCTGATAAACACAAGGATCGCCCGACCCCTCCCACCCTTCGATTGCATTAGCATGAGCCAAGCGATGAACAGTAAAATGGAAGTTGGTAGTGCGCTTCCTGATGTTAGATCCGGTCAATGATAGTCCTCAATTAGCTAGTAATGAGTGGACTTTAATCAATGGAACATAATTAAGATAAAGACAAAAAAGAAAACATAGGCATAAAATATTCATTTTAAAAAAACATCGCCAAATAGAATTTTACTAGGACTAACACATTAAATGACTCTTTCTTTAGCGGCTTGGGGTTGAGCTCAAACATATACAACGCAGCGTCACGCTTTCTTTAAAGGATAGAAATAAAATAAAAATCTGACAGGGCGGTCACTTGTTGTGTAGAGGGGTGGTTCTTACATGCTATACATTGTACTGGAAGCAGTTTTAATAACCTGCTTAGCTATCTACTATCAACTGTTCTCCATTTATGAAGAGACGGGTTCGTTCCACTTGTAACAATCTCGTGACACAATGTTTTCAACGTCCTGTAGGATTCCTGTCACGCTGATACTGAAGTACTATCAATTATTAATTTCCTATTGTGTAGAACATTGCTTAATAAATGCTGATAAAATTAATTTGGTGAATTTGTTTTTTTTTTTTTAATAAAAGCCTTGAGGCAGTGGTGGCTGTCGACAGATAGGAAGGATACGAACGTGGTAAGAAAAATTGCGACTTCTTAAAAAACAAGGTTCAATAAGCGTGTTTCTTATTAGGGAATTGTTTACTGAACAACTTGTTAAGTTAACGTGGGAGAATTATAGGTAAATTGGTTACTTCATGTCTGTGCGAATAAATTCTCGACGTTTGCGGAAAATTGCTCGTCTCAAATTTCCATGTTGAATTTCTGCTGAGGAAGAAGCAATTAGCTTGGAAGGTCTTACATACGGGTCATTTTCCCAACATCTCATCATGATCTGATACCTGGTGTTTACATATCAGATTGCAGTTTTCAATCGCAAATATACCCTAATGTCGTCAGGAAATTAACAAGAAAGACACCAATCAAGAGCGGCTATTGGTCGGCATTCTGTTCGATATTGTTTACGTTTGTATAATTGGTTTATTTTTCGTATTGGATTCTCTCTATAATACTTTCTTTGTTGATTCTTTTTGGATAATGTGAATTGGCCACCGTATAGAGTTTCAAGGCTGAATTTTCGAGTGTTAACCCTTTGTCAGAGCAAATGACGAGGGGCCGACGCTTCAAGCGTAAGCTTTGAAACTTATTACCGCTGCCAATTTACATTATCAACTCTGTTCATAAAACCAATTTATCTTCTCAAATTCGGCAGAGACTGGTACACCATGCTTACTTAATGACTTCTTGTCGCCTTAATTACTGAGGCTGAAATAATCAGCCTCGTAACTTACCAATCGTGAAAATCTCATAGAGGAGAACTCCGTAGCTCCAGCTATAAAACAAACGGGATGGATTTAAGATATAAAATTACTTGCCTGCAAAAGCAAGTAATTTAAGCATCTAGGGAGGGGAGGTGGGGAGGAACACAGTAAAAGGGTCATCCTAGTTGATCCCTCATTAGTCTAAGTGCGAAAATAGAAGCCTTACCCTCTCCCCCAAGGAGAAACGGAAGGGAAGAAACATTATTCTTTTGCGTGATAATATCAAATACTTTTAACATTTTATTGGTTAACAGTTTTCTCTCTTGATCTCAACAAATTTCAAAATACAAAAGTAACCCGATAACTTTTCTCAGACCTGAAAACAGCTCGTACAAAACCATTCTCATTAAGCCTTAATGTAGTTTTCATGTCCTTGCACTCACATCACTCTTTGTAAAATATCTTCAGTAAAGCAACGCCTCAATTGTAGTCCATTTTACAGGGAGACGCCCCTAAAAAGAAGCAAAAATACTAGGAGTTGACGTAGTACTTAAAAAATACCAATGCTTCAAATTGCGAGAACAAAGTAATCAGTGTTCCTGTAAACTGAACAGGATTTACTGAACTTGTTTTCTTTAAGGAGTCACGCTAGTGAGGCATCTTCAGCCACATAATTTATAAGAAAATTAAGTCTTTTTCTTGAACTGAATCATTCATACCCTGATTTTTCTTCCGTACCTGTTGTTCTTTGCACGTCTCTGGCCATTCTAAAGTCCGTCATTTTGCACGTTTCCTCTTCTCCAAGAGGTCAATGAATAACCTACAAAGAAAAACCGTTACCTCTGAAAACACCCTTTACCGAGATGAGGGTGACATCCTGAGTAATGTGTCCAGGAGTCAATAAAAAGAGAGGAATATTAAGAGACAAATGGTGCCTTATTCTGTGACGACTTCACTCAAAGAATAATAACATTACTCACTGGTATCGATGACAAATAGGACATTCCATCAGCGATTTCCCAAGCAAACTTCATCCGCTGCTGTGATGTCAGATTTGTTTGTGTTTTTTTTTCCACGGTTCTTTCTCAGGTAACCCGGCAGATCTCCAAAAGGAACATATTCGATGAACACCATGAGTTGCTCCACGAAGAATAACAAGGTCATGAAATTTTCAGACAATGAAACTAGAGATTGTACGGTACGCCATAAAATGTGTACTGTAATAATCACCACTCGTATTCCTCGTGCACTTTTTAATTTTTTTTTGTGGGGGTGGGTACTTATTCGAGGTTGGGCGCTTAAAAAGTAATTTTTGGGGTTGGGGTGGTGGAGGTGGGCGCTTATTCGAGGCTGGGCGCTTACTAACCTTTTCTACCTTCAGGGTGGGCGCTTATTCGACGTTGGGCGCTTAATCGAATGAATGTGGTATGTGCCGCAGATGGAAGC